AAAATAAACCACAAATAATTTCTCAGAAATACATCATAAAAATTAATTACAAGATAATTCAAAGAAATACATTAAAAAAAAAAACGAAATAATTCCTAGAAACAATGAATATACATCACAAATAAATTCCTAGTAATAAATTTTGAAAAGAAAAAAATGAAATACAAATAAATTCTTACATCTGACACCGCCCATGCTCTTCTTCCCGGAGAAACAGATCACGTGATCACTCCCCCCCCACCCCCACGTGATCTCTCCCCGAATCTCCCACGTGATCGCCCCCCCCCCCATCCTCATAATAAGCTCCTCCCACAAAACCCACACGTAAGCGCCCTTGGTCACTCTTGTGGGCACTGTAATATAGTGTTTCAAAATAGAGAGAGAGAGAGAGGGAGAGGGGAGAGAGAGAGGGGGGAAAGGAAAGAGAGAGGGAGGGAGGGAGAGGGAAGAGAGAGAAAGGAGGGAGGGAGGGAGGGAGGGAGGGGAGGGAGGGAGGGAGGAGGGAGGAGGGAGGGAAGGGAGGAGGAGGAGGGAGGGAGGGAGGGAGGGAGAGGAGAGAGAGAGAGAGAGAGAGAGAGAGAGAGAGAAGAGAGAGAGAGGAGAGAGAGAGAGGAGAGGGAGAGAGAGGGAGGGAGAGAGAGAGAGAGAGAGAGAGAGAGAGAGAGAGAGAGAGAGAGAGAGAGAGAGAGAGAGAGACAGAGAGAGAGAGAGAGAGAGGAGGCAGGAAAAGGGAGAGAGAAAAAGAGAGACAGGAACAAACAAATGGAGACAAATAAAAGAGATACAGAGACAGAGAAAGAGAAAGAGGGAGTGAGAGAGAGAGAGACAAACAGAGCAGAATGGAGAAGCAGAAACAGAAAGACAGACAAAGAGAAGGAGAAACAGAAAGACAGACAGAGAGAAGAAACAGAAAGACAGACAGAGAGAAGGAGAAACAGAAAGACAGACAGAGAGAAGGAGAAACAGAAAGATAGACAGAGAAGGAGAAAGAGAGCGAAGGAGCAAGACAGAGGCCATATAAATCCCTCGATTCAGAGCCACACCAACATGGGCGGCACATCGAACGCACGCCCATACATTCCCATCTTCTCCTCCACCACGCCCACACGCCAGCAGCGTCCTCAGCATCACAACTTGCAATACGCTGAGATCGTAGGACCATCTCAGTCCCTTCTCGCTGATATATTGTGCGTTCATGTTGGGGATAGTGACCGTGTGTTCGTTTCTGTAAAAGGAATTCTTTTATTTATTTCTTTTTCTTTTTTCTGCTTCTTCTTCTTCTTCTTCTGTTTCTGTTTCTTTTTCTCCTTTTTCTTCTTCTTCTGTTTCTGTTTCTGCTTCTTCTTCTTCTTCTTCTCTTCTTTTTCTTCTTTTCTGTTTCTGCTTCTTCTGATTCTTTTCCTCTTTCTCCTTCTTCTACTTCTTCTTTTACCCACTCTCTCCTCACAACCTCACAACTTCTCCTTCTCCCCCAACCATCTCCCATACCCCGCCAAACCACCCACCCACCACCTACCACCCACCACCCCCACCTTCACACACCACCCACCCCCGCCACACCCCCAACCCATCCGCCCCGCCCACACCACCCACCCACCGCACTCACCCCCGCCCACCCACCCACCAGCCACCCGCCCGCCCCACCCACCCACCGCCCGCCCCCGCCACCCACCCACCCACCCGCCCGCCCACCCACACCCACCCACCCAGCCGCCCGCGACACCCCAAAGCCGCGCATTCCAGACTCCTCCCCGACACCCGCCCGACGCCCCCAATAGAAGTTCTTCGTATTCCGGTGTTTTGTCGGCGTCTTGTGGGTTTATGGCTTGCTGTTGAGGCATCCCGGGGCTCTGTGGCCTTTTCGGCTGCCATTTCTGTTTGTTTGTTTGTTTGTGTTTGTTTTGGCTTGTTTTTGTTTGTTTTTTTTTATTGTTTTTTGTTTGATTTGTTTTGGTTGGTGTTTTTGTTTGGTTTTTGTTTGGTTTTGTTTGTTTTTGTTTTTTGTTTTGGTTGGTTTGTTTGTTATTCTGTTTGTTTTTGTTTCGTTTTGTTTAGATTGTATGGCTTGCTTTTTTTGTTTGGTTGATTGTGTTTTGTTCGGTTGGTCGGTTTGCTTTTGTTTGTCTGTTTGGCTTGTTTTAGTTTTTTGTTTTGTTTGTTTTGTCGGGATTATCAGCGTGAGATAAGGATAAGAGTGATTGATAATGTGTCTGCACTCGCGTATGGCTTTCTCACTTCCTCTTCCTCTTCCCCTTCATTTTCCTCCTCCCCTTCCTTTTCTTCCTTCTTCCTGTTGCCTCCTAATTCATCATCCTATTCCTCTCCTCCTCCTCCTTGTTCTTCATCTTCTTTCTCTTTCTCCTCCTCCTACTCACCCCTCCACCCCATCCCATGCCATCCCATCCTCCTCCTCCTCCTCCTCCCTCCTCCTCCTCCTCCTCCTCCTCCTCCTCCTCCTCCTCCTCCTCCTCCTCCTCCTCCTCCTCCTCCTCCTCCTCCTCCTCCTCCTCCTCCTCCTCCTGGCCCGTGGCTGGCTTCGAGCGCGGCCCATCGATCCAACAGAGGTAGCTAGGCAGGGGGGGGGGGGTAGTGAGGGAGAGGGAGGACTAAGTGAGGGGGCGAGGGGATAGGGAGTGGGGAGTGAGGGAGCCGGGAGGTTAAGAGGGAAAGGGAGAGGGAAGAGAGGGGAGAGAGGAGGGTGAAGGGGAGGAGGGAGAAGGTGGGAGAGGGAGGGAAGGGAAGGGAGGGAGGGAGGGAGGGAGGGGAAGGTAAGGGAGGGAACAGAAACGCCCAGTGATGACGCAAGAGTATGTTCGAATTACTATCATCCTCCCCTCATCCTCGCTCTCTCTCTCGCTCTCCCCTATTCTCGCTCTCTCTGCTCTCTCTCTCCCCTCTCTCTCTCTCTCTCTCTCTCTCTCTCTCTCTCTCTCTCTCTCTCTCTCTCTCCCTCTCTCCCCCCTCTCCCTCTCCCTCTTCTCCCTCCCCCTCTCCCCTCCTCCCCTCTCCCCCTCCTCCTCCCCCCTCCTCCCTCCCCCTCTCCCCCTCCTCCCCTCCCCCTCCTCCTCCCTCCCTCCCTCCTCCCTCCTCTCTATCATCCATCCTCTCTCTCTCTTTCCGTCCTTCCAATGCCTACGTGACATATACACTTCCCGCCATTTTCTCTCCTCCCCCGCCCCCCTAAACAAACAAACAAACAAACAAACAAAGTACACACAGAAAACAAATACAACAAACAAATAAATTAAAAAACAAATAAATTAAATAAAAAAGGGGGAAATATCAAGGGGCACAACTCTACGGGCCAACAACCCAGCTTTCAACTATCCCCGTCTAGGAAGCGAGAAGCGGCCGCGGCAAATGGCATATTGAGGTCAAGCGCTCCTTGTGCTTTTGTCATCTTCCTCTACTTATTCCTCGTTTCGTCTCTGTTTTGTTTTTACCTCGCAAGAAACGTTATCGGAATTCACACTTGCTACGCAACATTGTGGAAATATAGACAAGCTTATGAAAGAAAATTCCGAAAAATAAAGAATAAATACACGCGTATAAAAAAAACAAAAAAAAAAAAAAAAAAATGAAAATAATAATATAAAATAAAATAAAAAATTAAAAAAAACATATAAGATTAATAAAAGCAAATACAAAAAAAATGAAGCGTATATTTCCCTAGAGCATGAATGGGATGGAGAGCGATCCAGCTCCTTCGCAAACTGGACTGTCGCCAAAAATTGCATGGCATTGCATCGCCCTTGTATACATCTTCACTGAGCATGCGCATGACATCGGGATTTCGTCTGTGAGTCACCCCAGAGCGTCAGATTCGAAATGTTGCCAGTGCGTATATTTCCAGCCAACACTCTCTTTCTTTCCCTTTTCAATTCATTTCCTTTTCATTCTTTATATAAAGCAGAGTTCGGAAAAAATGAAATGTAAAATAAAAGAAGGCTTTCATAAAAGAGCAGAATTATATATTTGAAATAATGAAACATCACAAGCCGGTAAAAGGAACGCAAACCAAAAAATAATCCATAAAAACAAAATAAATTATAAATATATACAATGAAAACACATCATCCAAAATAAACAAAAATTCCAACCGACATAATACGCCCCCTTCCCCCCACCCCCCTAAAAAACGTAATTCCAGCAACACGTCCACCACGCCCCCGCCCTCACACACGTGTAAATAAGCACGTGCATCTCGTCACGCCCATTCACCAATCAGCGTTGCCTGGACACCGCCCTTCTCTCCACTCACACGCCCAATTGTCTTTCACTATCTTCACTATCACTGTACACGGGAGGCAGAACAGTACACGAGCTGCTGGTGATTTTTTTTTCTTTTTTTGTGTGTGTTTTTTGTCTCATTTCTCGTGGATGAGTCTCTCGTGTGTGTGTTCTTTAAGTCCACATTCGTTTATGGTCGTTCACTATGTTCAAAGTACGTCTTCCCTTTTCCAAACGAGAACAGGACACCCACAACCGTGCTTTTTTCAAGTCGGTTTTCTCCCGGGCGGAAAAATCACGATAAACAGGACAACCATCTTGCACAAGGCACTGTAACCGGGACGGAACAGAGTCTATAGCACACCATCTTTCACTATTTCTTCGACCAACAACAACACCACGACACCGTCACCCAGAGAACAAACACTGTTTTTTCCCCCTGTCAACGTCGAGGAACCGGCTTGTGTCATGGAAGGCGCCGAAAACCCCATGTGTGAAATCGTGCTTACATATGTGCGTTCCCCTCGTGCACGTTCGGCATCTGACGGACTCGCTATCTGTCGTCTTATTGCTCGTAATAACCTCAAGCCGTGAAGAAAAGGGCTTGCAGAGAGGCACAGAGAGAGAGTGAGAGTGGGAGAGTGAACGGGAGAAAGGATAGTCCCCCCAAAAAGAGGGTAAGAAAAAAAAAACGAAAGGCGTGGAATATCCCTCCCTCACTCTATCCCTTCCTGGCCCCAGAGCCTCCCCTTTTCATCGAACCCCCTTACCTTGCACTGTGTAGCCATTTTTATATTGCATTTCTTATACAAGTCTATCATGTAAGCTCCTCTTGCGACTGGAGCCAAACGGCCACTACTCGACGCTGCGACCGAGCCCCCTTTATATACGCTCGTCCGCCCTGCCACGGAGCTACTGTCTGGTCTGCTGCTGCTCGACCCATCGCGCGGAGCTCAGAGGCCGCGGCGCTCCGGCCCGGGCGCACGCGCGCTCGGCTCTCCTCCGCGCTCCTCCCGCGCTGCCGCTCGCGCTCTCTCGCTCTCGCCTCTCTCTCGCTCTTCCCTTCTCTCGTCTTTCGCTCTTCCGTTCTCTGGTTCTTTCGCTCTTCCGCTTTCGGTCTGTTTTGTCTTTTTTTGTCATTGCTGTCTGCTTTTCTCGGTCTTCCTCTCTTTTTCTTTCTCTTTCTCTCTTCCTTTCTTTTCCTTGTTTCTGTATATCCCCCTATCTGCATATATTCTCCCTCTATCTTTCGCTCTCTTTCTCGCATTTTTCCTTATTTTTTCTCTTTCTTATTTTCTTATTTCTCATTTCTCCCGTTCACTGTTTCTGACTGCCCCGCCCTCTTCCTGCT